TGTTCATCATCCTCGATGTCATAATCTTCCTGTTTGTTATCCAGTACTGAGTTTCAATCAAAAACTCTGTCCACCAATACCAAGTAAGAGAACAAATAGTGATCTATAGACTCAACTGAAACTCGAATCTTTCTTAAAGTTATTTCTTTATCGTTCATACACCCTCACATATGCAACTCTTGTTGGTATAGGAGCAATGAGGAAGAGCCGAAAAGCCTTTAAAAAGTAGATAAAGCCCGGTAGAGACCAAATGAATTGTAATCATTGAAGAAAAGATTTCATCTCTTCTCATGGACCATATCCATAACTTTGAAATACAGAGTTCGTTGCAGTTATATCTAGCAATATATGAAGATGCAGTGAACTTTTTAATATACATTAGAGACCGAAACAAATTGAACAATTGATGATACGATTCTGTACAACATGTCATGTGTTGGGGTTTCCATAAGAGCACATCAATTCTATTGAGTCACGTTTCTCTTTATTCACAGTTTTTGTTGTACACTCGACTGATTCTTGTGAATACTGAGTTCACTCGGCAGCCTTTTTTCAAAGCAACTTCGATTGACATCTAGCTCGAAAGAGAACGCATTTATAATTCTCTCTGTCATGTTTCTAATGACTAAACTTGCGAAATTGAAGACTGATCATTTAGCTGTGACACAGTAATCGGTAGATTCAAGAGGGCTTTAGTAATTGAATGGGATAAATAGGTCACTAATGATTAGTAATTCAACTGTGCATATGAGTTTTTTTTCACAGTTTGTAGCATCACTGACTCAGCTGTATCAGTAAGATACTTATAAGCGCAGAATATATCTTGCCGAAACATCTTTGAAACGGCTACTTCTTTTGGAGATTATGCCTCAATGTGTCCAAGTTTCGAGAATTTGTTTTGAAAGAAGAACGTAAGAATTCAGGCTGTCTGATGGCGAGAGGGACGAGAGAGAGAGTTCGTATCAATTTATCTTTACACTATTATTCTGTTCTTTCGAATACCTTCTTAAATTCATTTCACTCGCACTTCTGATATAGCAGCAGAATATTCTAATGATTTGAGATGAACACACTGGCAAATAGGCAATTTATGTGAGAGGTTGAAATTACAAACTTCATACTTGAAATAACTATTTTGTACTCTAACGGCAGCCAATGGATTTTAGTCTTCGCTCGTATTCAAAATACAATAGAAGTGATGAATTTGAGCAGAATGATCTCGATGGCTTCGGTTCAATTCAATTTCGATTCTCTTTGATTTGATCCAGCCGAATCACATCGAATCGAATTGTCCAAAATTTTACTCACTTTTCGGTCTCTAATGAACACAGAAATTTTCCATCAAAGACACCCACCCTCAAGAAAAAAAGTCGCTTTTCAGATCATTTGAGATCGTCGCTCTACTTTGAAACATTGCCTAGGCTACACCTAAAACTTAAGTGCACCAAGTTCTATATTTTCTATGATAATGAATAGCAATGAATAGTACAACTACAAGCACGATTCCAATTACAACCGTAACAACAACAACTACAACTGCTACCCAACAACTAGGTAAACATTAGATTAATGCTTTTTGATCTTGCTAAATACTATTTCTTAATCAAGTACATATAGTTGCTTTGTATGCAATATTACTCTGCAGCTAGCTAAAGGTTGCATTGAGAAGATAAACGATCTTATGTCATGAGTTATTCAATGTTTACCGTAAGTAAAAACAAAGTAATAGTAATCTCCATGTTGGCAATTTTTCGTCACTATCGAAGTTTGATGCGTTTTGTTGACAGCTATAAAACGAAATCCATCTTCCTCTTCATTTGATCCTACTACGTGCATATGCTACCTTTTAACAGAAAATGCTTTATTTGAATTCAAAAACTAAAACATTTGACTGCAGATACCATAAGAGTGCACTTTATTCTAAACATCGCCTCGTTCTCATATTCACCTGAATTCAGATAATCTTAAAGTCAGATATTTCAATTCTGTTCGACACCTTTTTTGAAGCATTTCATTCATAATTTTGGCTACCAAGATCGCAGAGAGCTTTTGTTTAATTTTCGACAAAGAGTAAACATATCATTGTCGAGTAATATAAGATTAATCAAGAACTAATAAATTGATTATTTAGGAAAACCATTAAATTATGTCCAGGAAAAATTCTGATTGTTATATGCGCTTCATTCATGTTACTTACGAGATGTAAATCAGTTAAGATTACTCGACGTATGCAGAAACATATTGTCTCGTGCTCTCTCAAGGGTCTTTAGCAGTGATTCATTTAAAATGGAAAAAATATTGAAATAAGTTAATAACATCAGAACATTTGTGTTATTGAAGATGCAATATTGGTAGCACAAATATACAGAATGATCACGTTATTTTTGATAGTTTTCTTCGGTTTACTGTACTTCTACTAAACTTGAGAAGTTATTTATTTTTATACGGTTAGATAGAGCATTCATTTCTCTATCGATCTGTGAATTTTTTATTTGATTTATTCTTCATCCTGACTGAGTTTTCAGTGAAGTTCTACAAGCCGTCAAAACACAATTTTGTACAGTGATATTTAGCTGGAAGAGGAATATCTCAATGAAAATCGATCTGATTGTCACAAAAGTGGTCTTGGATTGAAGAGATCCCTGTGACTCATGTTTTAATACAGTACTAAATTAAAAAGTTCTGTATTCGAAGAGAGCACTTAATTTTAATTTTTTAATTTTGAGTTATATCAAGACATATATTAACGAATAAAAGATTCAGAAGCTTAGACAACTAAAATTTCTTCGAGAAAAAACAGAAAGAGTTGTATGAAAAAAGTTTCCGAGGATGTGGATGTGTGCACGTCGATGTGTGGGTGTGGGTGTGGGTGGATGTGGGTGGGTGTGAGTGGGTGTCGGTGTCTCCGCACTCCGACCACATCCACAGACACATCCACCGACACTCACACCCACACCCAACCATGCATAAGGCGATTCGGTAAAAGTTCGGAACTGATGAACTGCTTGTTAAAGTGATCTGATCTGATCGGATCTTTTTCGGCAGTTCAGCTCAGATTAAATGAACTGTTCAAAGAGTTCTTCCGACCTTCTGGGAACTGCTCAAGTAGTGATGCTCAGATCGACACGTGATCGAGGAAGCCATCTGATGGGCCTCATCTGTTCTGAAAGATAGATTGTTTTTCATGGAAAACTAGGATGCTGATACTAACATCTGGGATCGTAGAGGCATCACCTGAACTGCTAGAAACATCATACGGGTCGCTAGTAGTATTACCTGGAATGCTAGATGCATCACTATGGTGCTGGAAGCGTCATCTGGGTGACTATAGGTATAACCTCGGATACCGCAGGTATCACGCGGACTGTTCACAGCATCATAAGTGATGCTTCTCGATTTCAATGTGACGCTTCTAGCATCACATATAATATAACCAGCATCCCGGGTGATGCACTTAGCAGCCTAGTTGATGTCCCTAGCTTCCTAGTTATGCTTCTATCATCCAAGGCAATATCTCTAGTAACTCAGACGATGCCTCTAACACCAGAGTGATACTACCAGCATCTCATATAATGCTACTGGCATGCTAGGTAATGCCTCTAGCATTCCAGGTCTCAGTGCTGCTGTGGGTGTGGAGTCGGGCTCTAAAGTACGCGTGTGGGTTGGCGTGGATGTGCGCTCCTATGCAGATCTGGGATTCGGATGTGACGTCTGAAGTGGATTTGAGCGTTGGGATATGATTGTTGGTATTAGGGTTCCAGTTGCCTTAGTTCCATTCCAACACTCACACCGAAACTCTGCAGCTGCACCAACAGAATAGTTAATCAAATTTTAGAAGATGTATTAACTTAACATAGGAAAAACAGAAAACTTCATTTAGGGCGAAAGTGTCGCGCGCGGAAATGTCGCTGCGCTGAAGTATCGGCACGGAAATGTCGCCCGTGGAAATGTCGTGTAACTGTTTACTCAATCAGCCAGCATACGTCATCGTTGTGGGAAATTTGTCTACAATAACTGGTCGAAAATTCTGGGATAGTTGCTGTACTAATAAAAATTACATATTTGAAAAAAGCGAGAAAGCGAGATTTCTTCAATAAAAAAAAAGCAAAGAAGTATCATATATCATCGTAGCAGATTAGAGAAAAGCTTTTCTGTCTTGAAGTTGCTATTTTCTTTCTACTTTCAAGACATGCATCGATATGAATCGTCTCACAGATAAAACATTCCTGTGAAGAAGAGAAGGAAAACAAAAAAAAAGGAGCCGATCGCGATGACTTTAGTAACATGGTGAAACTATTGAAGGGAAACGAGAGTGAAGAAAGTCTATTGAGATCAATTCAATAAACACTGAATAAGATTTCATAAAGCTAACCTCTATCTCTTGTATGATGAAATATGAAGCTTTTGTTTCTTTTCTCTCGCTCCAATAATCAATTTTAACATCTTAAGAGTGTTATCATGATTACTAGTTCAACATTTTCGTTTGATAATTTGAAATCACGTTTTAAATCAAAGTTCTTTTTCTTTCACTCAATTCATTATCTTGGTTATTATTGTTCTACTTTTTCTCTCTCTCAACCAACTCTGGAGGCTTTCTTGTCATTTGTGTTCTGTAAAAGGCCTAAGTCAGAAAAATAATTGTTATTGTCACGATCATTTTTGTCAGTTTGTAAAAAATATATAAGTTTCTCACTCATCTTCACAATAAGAACAATTTATAATAATTATTAGGTAATGACTTTGTTTCATAAAAATTAGTGGAAAATTGTTTTTTTTCTGTTTTCATTGATTCATGTTCATTATAGCTCTCTATGTCAAAAACCCTCTGAGAAAGAATCTTTTCGTTGGTTCATTAATATATTGATGAAAAAATACACTTGTGTTTTTGTGACGAACATCAGTGTTTTCGCCAATCAATGTCTAGTCTCAAAAGATTCAGACAGTTTTAAATGTTTGCATAAGCGGAACACTCACTTGTGTGGTCGTTATAGTCACAGTAGCAGTAACTATAACAAAAGTTGATTTTTCCATTCCAAAATTCCTATAGTCCGAACAATTAAAAGTAGGAATTGAGGGTATGTTCACATTAGGTTTTATTCTAATACTATCAGAAGAAGTTATTACGTGCTGTTACATAGGAACATACAACATGACTAGGAGTATCTAATAACATGGACCAATACAATATAGCACGAACAATTTTTTAAAAAAAGCAGGAAAAAGAAAGGTAGTATATACACTGCCAGGGTGAAATTCATGCTACATAAAACAGATGATACAATACACATAAAAGTAATTAATTAAAGCTAATTATATCTCTATAGAGCAGTGTAGACCTTGTTGTGTTACGAGCTACCCTCATCTTCCATTTTCTCTTGTTCTTCATATTCATTCTCCATTTCACCCATAAAAACATCAAGTTCATTCACCTGCTCATTGATAATATCAGAACTATGTATTACTACAGTAGGAGATTTGACTATTAATTTATCTATTGTACCAATGTGCACATGATGCTGTACTATTATTCTTAGGCTTTAGTATTTTCTTTTGTAATATAGGTCTGTCAGCACCCTGTCTTTCCCCACCAGAACCACTCATACTATCAACAGGTGAATTCTATATGTCATAATCCAAAAAAGAAACCATAATATAAAAAGTTATCCCGGAATATGCTAGCACATAGTATCCTGTATACGTGCCATATAAGAAATATATTAAACAAGCTACAATAAGCAAATGAAAATCAAACTTGTAATAGCTTCTGAAAATCGCTATACTTAAAATTATACAGCGATAGTGCACTAATACACAGAGATGAAAATCTGAAATATACACTATAGATAGAAGACTACTAGAGCATTATAATGGTAGAGATATGACCAACCCATATCAGCCTATAGTATATGAAAATCGAAAGAACACATCATCATGAAATGAAAATGAATACAAAAAAAATCAAATTTTTACTCGTACTTTTGATTGTTCGGACTATAGTAGTAAGTATAGTCAAAAAGCGCAATAACCAAGTTGAAAAAAATTTTTTTGAATCATTTTTCTTAAAAAGTACGAGAGAGCAATGAAAATGCTTTGAATCTTCCAATGTGGACTGCTATAGGTCCTTCTCATTGGTTGTCGGCATCGTCAATTATTTTGACGCGTGTATATTTATAAACATGCAATCTCAACTAATCGACATTAAACTAAAAGTGTATGGGGCACAGAAGTACAACATATATTAGATATCTTTTTACATTGAGTATCGAAATGAACAAATGTAATGAGCTACTCCTTCATTATAAACAAACAGCTTATAGGGAATATGGGAGTCTAAAATCTTGATATGACCAAAACGAAAAATTAGTATGCTAGGGTTATACCCATTGTGGACTTGGTATAGTAGTCTTGAGGTCTCTTTTCTTAAATGAAACAGAATTTCAGCTGAGCTGGATATGGGTGTGGGTGTGGATATAGAAGAGTACTTCACCCACACCCACTCACACCCACACCCCACACCCACACCACACCCCCACCCCCACACCCACCCACACCCTCATTTGGAATTCTATGCATGATTTCTCTTCATGAGCCATCCCTGAAAAATGCTCGGAAATTGGATGTAAGCTGTGCCCAGAAATTGACTTTTTTCTGAAAACCCTGTTCAATAGAATAGTGAAAAAATCCACCCGCTTCTTTTTATCTACTGAAGTCACACAAAAAATTAATGCACATGACGTAAAGCACGTAATCACGGATGAACTCACCCCACTCACTAATTAGTTCTGTTGCCTCATTCATTGAAATGCAACAAAACCGAACTCTCAAAAACATACTTTGTTTTTTCCAAGGGCTCATCGATGAGTCTTTTTGTCAGAATTTCTCCCAAGCGAAAGAAATGTTAGCTTGAAATCTCGAGTAGTGTATGTATCAACTTTCAGTAGTAACAGTCGTTCGATGAAAATATCATCGATCACTAAATAACTCTATCGAGGAAATAATATTGTGCGCTTTCAAGGGCGACACAAAATGTTGATTTTCTTTCTTTTTCCTAATTAATATTAGTTCATAAGAAAAAGAAAAATGCTTGTTAGCGCAGCTCCTTTGGAGCTAAAATGTGGAACTCACGTATATCCTTCAGTCTTGTTATCTTAATACGTCATCTGTAAACTGAAAGCTTTCTCGTCGACTAGAAGGTTTTTTTGTAAATAATTGCTGATAAGAAAAATAATTGATCATTTAATTTCTACATTTAAAATTGAAACTCTCTTTTTCATTTAAGCGCGCCCGATCTTTTTTTTATTATTGTTGCTATACACTCAATAATAATCATTTTTCTTTGTTTATTTTGATTTGAAATTACTTTTTTTTTTTCATCATCGATTATTTCATCAATAAGACTCTTAGAATAATGCAGTTTATATCTGTAAGTCACTCTCATCACATTATTATATATCTCAATTAATTCATAAATGGTGATATTGTATACGTCTGACACTGATACAAAGGTCGAATCGTGTTTGTTACATCGATTATACCATCGGTATGACCGATCAATACCTATTATTACTCTTTATTGTTGACTTTTTACGTGCAAATTTAAATTCTAAAAAATAATCAGTGATTACATTATTACGAACTTTAACAAATTTATATTAGTTTTTTCCAATATTTATGAAAACATTGAAATATTGTATGACAGTCAAACTGATATTCTTCATACTGTTCAACTCTCTTTTTATTGTTAAATAAAGTTGAAGTTTTTATGCGCGGTTGCTGAGGTCTGTAATGTTCTCTTTCGCGTTGCTATATGTCTGTAATGGGGGAGAGAGGGGAGGGATGGTGGCACCCGCCAACTTCGAACCGAAAACTTACACTCACTATTTTCTTCGAAAACATACGTGAGTTCCACAAAATGCTAACTAAGAAGAAATGATTCTTTTTCGAATTCAAGATGGAAGGGGATGAGTTTTCTGTTGACATACACGCTGACTTTTCCCCTCTCTCTCGTTCTTCCTCATTGATCATTCCAATTTTTTAAAATTCAATTAAAAAATGGTCAAAAATGATGGAATCATCGAATGAGAGAAAGAGAGAGATTATCTAGATGATATTCTTATAACTTTGTTGGATGGATAGTCCCAGAGGACAAGATACAAAAACAAAACTGCGCGAAAGAAATGTGTCTCTGAAAAAGAAAAAATTACTAGATGAAAACAACGATGTGTGTGCTGACAATTAGATGAATGAACGAACGGACAAACAACAAAATAAAATAAAAAAATATTTCTAAATTCTGGCAGTCGTCATCGTCCATCCTCACATCCTCAAATTTCAAGGATTCCAGTTAGTAGTCCATGTATTCTAATTCCGTAGAATTCAGCCACATGTCTCACTTCTATTCACCCACTCTTTCCGACAAAGTCGCCCTTTCTTTTAAAACTTTGTTCTGTCACTGATTGTGACCTTATTTTTCTCTATTTTAAGTACCACTACGATCAGCTGCTATTGATATTCATCCAAATGCAACATGGATACAAAATGGTGTCACTGTGGCTGGAGGAAATGGAGACGGCAATGGAATCAATCAATTCTCCTACGCATTGGGTTTATATGTCGATGATGATCAAACTATTTATGTCGCTGATTATTGGAATCACCGTATTGTGGAACGGAAACATGGTGCGACAAGTGACCAAGTGGTTGCTGGTGGAAATGGACAAGGAAATGGAGCTAATCAGTTAAACTTCCCATTTGATGTAATTGTCGACAAAGATCGAGATAGTCTTATTGTCAGCGATAATAATAATGAAAGAGTAGTTCGATGGCCTCGTCGAAATGGCACTCGTGGAGAAACAATCATCTCGAACATCGGTTGTATGGGTTTGACAATGGACGAAAATGGATCTGTCTATGTCGTTGACTGGGGAAAAAATGAAGTGAAACGATATAGGATTGGTGATACTAACGGAACAGTAGTTGCAGGTGGAAATGGAAATGGAAATCGTCTCGATCAACTCTCTGGCCCCCACAATGTATTTGTCGATCGAGATCATTCAGTGTACGTGTCTGATTATGAAAATCATCGTGTGATGAAATGGGAAGAAGGCGCAAAACAAGGCATTGTTGTAGCCGGTGGTGAAGACTATGGATATAGTCTTACACAACTGTCATATCCTATCGGAGTTGTCGTCGATCAGTTGGACACTGTCTATGTGGCTGATTCTTGGAATGATCGAATTATGCGTTGGCCAAAAGGAGCCACACAGGTAGAGGTGTAAGCCGTGCGGCTGAGCCGCCGCCGCCGCCGATTAACGGGAAAAATTTTAAGCCGCCGCCGCCGTGACAGTCGAAATTTTAAAAATTTATAAGCCGCCGCCGCTGAGACACTTTAGTTCCAGCCGCCGCGCCGCCGAGGGCATTCAGAATTTTCAAATTTTTGAGCCGCCGCCGCCGACACCGTTCATAAACATCGACAACTTTTTATCATTTTTTCCTTAATTTTGTATGGGTTAAAAGTTTCAAGTAATCATTTCACTTGTTAATGTCTATAACATTATATATAAGTAAAAACCAGTATTATAAGTTTCGATTAACAGAAACAAAATCAAGCAACAGACTTGTGTGTGCTACGTCGTTCTACTTATTAACAAACTCGGTGACGGTTTTTCATCTACTATTTATCCTGGTGGTTATATTTATTTTTCATTTATTTGTATTCTCAGTGGTTGTATTATTTTTTTCACTTATTAATAATCCTAGTGATTCCGTTTTATTCAGTAGCAGTTCAAGTTATATTTCCTACTCAAAGTTTGATGGTTTTACTATGTATTGATGATTTTGGTAATTTTTATTTATCATTATTTTTGGAGTTGCTTTTTCAATTTTCAGAAATTTGTAGGTGCTGTTTATTGATAAATAAATAATTCTGTTTGTTTTGTTCATTTTTAGGTTCATCTTGCAGTTGAAATGACAAATGTATATTGTGTAAACAAAAACTTTTTTATCGAGATGAACCTACCTAATCTACCAAAACCATCGTTCGTCTGGAATCATTTCGGTTATTTGCACAAAAAAACCGTATTAGTTAGCCGATAATTAACATGTTTATTGCAAAATTTGGTTTCACAAATTGAAAAACGATCAAGCTGATATTACTTTTTTCAATTAAAAATCTTATTGGTATTTATAGCAATATAAGTGGTACAGAAAATGTGAAAAATCATTTAACGGTCTACGAAAACGTTTTTGGACAAAATATTTGTTCATTTTTTTCTCTTATAAAAGTATTCTAGTCGAGGGAAAAAAGAGTGATTAGGACCGGAATGATGTGGTCTTTCCAGATATAGGCTCATAAATTATGTACCTATTGTTGCTCCAGAATAAGTAAGGATATCTCTGAAAGGTCTAAAAACACAGTTTGAACACATCAATTATTCAAAAGTTTCTCGACAATGTTTTGTTCATATTTTATTGGCTTAAGTGTTCTAGGTGAATGAAATACTTTAGATTAGGACTAGAATTCCGTGCTCTATCCGAATATAGTCTGAGGGATTGTGTATCTGTTCTTGTCATAGAGTAGTGAGGAGGTCTTTGAATGTTCTGAAAAAGTAATGTCAGTGGCAAATAAAAAAGCTTTTGTGACCTTCGTATGTTTCTTGAGAAAAGCGCTAAAAATGGTTCAACTTGCAAATGTTGTAGGACGAATAATTCTTTATAAAATGTTATGGCGAACTAAAATGTACCCTTTACGCATATAAAAATATGACTGTTTTTGCAAGAACTACATCTGTCAGAATCGAATTCTGATGAAAAAATTGATTTTTTCGAAAATGCAACTGAACAACAATGTAAGTATTTTGTCAGAAAAAAATTAACCCAAATGTCATATTTTGTAGAACAAACTTTGTTCAAGCTGACATGTGAACAAAAGATTCAGCATGTTAGTTTTGAATATCAGTAGCAAGCATATGAAGATGTGCGAAGAAATTTTCCGTCCAAACGGTTTTTTAGTGTACTCAAAAAGTGAGTACACTACTAAAATCGGTCTGTGTGTCCGTCCGTCCGTCCGGCCGTTAACACGATAACTTTCGAAAGGAGAGTCAGATTGCGATGAAATTTTCTACACAGCTTAGTCTTGACAATATCTCGGTCGAGTTCGAAGATGAGAAGGATCCGCCAAGAAATGACTGAGTTATCGAAAAAATTGTGATTTTTGACCAGACCATCCCTGAGGGGGGGTACGGGGATTTTTCGAAAAAAAATTTTTTGCTCATAATTATTCACAAAATACATAAATCGACTCAGTTTTTAACGCTGATTCTGAATCTGATATTAATTTTGAACTGAATCATAGTTTTGTGTACTCAAAAAGTGAGTCCACTATAGAATAGTCAGTGTGTCCGTCCGTCCGGTTGGCTGTTTACATGATAAATTTTGACAGCAGAGTCAGATTGCGATGAAAGTTTCTACACAGCTTAGTCTTGACAATGTCTCGGTCGAGTTCGAAGATGAGAAGGATCGGCCGAGCTGTTCCTGAGTTATTGCAAAAATACCCATTTTTCCCTATAGCTTTCTGTGGAAAAATGGACCCATCGCGACTTTCGTAAAAGACTTTTCCTATCATAGTCAATTAAAACCCCAACTATTATATACCATTCGATAGAGAATTTCAAGAACTACGAAATGATATATAAAACATAAAAAAACAAGAAGATTGACTTACCAATGACAAGGACAATTAAAGAGAACTAGGTTATATTTTGGTCCACGATCTAATTGATCCACAAATAGAGCTTTATCTTCCGGTCACACTGATGATACTTCGAGGTTTTCAGATATGGAGAACTCGAATGTGTACTGCACTTCCATCGAAATACTATTAGTTGCGCAGTGACCAATAGAAATGAAGTTATAGGAAAAACGACTTTCTTAGGGTAAATCAAGGGAAAGAGTTCAAACTTGAGCTGTATTCGGTCCCATGTCCTATTGGTTTGGCAACGCGCAATAGAAATCAACATTTTAAATGGTAGATTTCACAGTATAATTTTGATATTCAGACAGTCTAGGATGATTGATTTGTATGATTCACTTTTTGAAGTACACATAACTCTCGGATTTAAATCCGAAGTTTCCGCATTTATTTTAGACCTTTGAAAGGTCTCCTCACTGCTCTCGAGCGAGAATAGGTACACCAATTCAGCCCATATTTGGAAAGAGCACAAAATTCTGGTCCTTAGCACTAGTTGTCCACTCGACTAAAATACTTTTAGAAGAGTCAAAAATGAGCAAATATGTTGCCCAAAAACTTTCCCATAGACTGCTATAGTAGTTTTTCTAAACCTCCAGCCGCCGCCGCCGTCGGCGGTAGGAAAAAAATGACTTTCGAGCCGCCGCCGCCGTGCAGCCCCAGCTATTCAAATCTGCGCCGCCGAGCTTTTGAAAAAAAAAATTTTTTAATGGCGCCGCCGCCGGACAGCTCATCGGCTTACACCTCTACACACAGGGAAGTGTGATTGTTGGCGGAAACGGTCGAGGAGGAGAGTCGAATCAATTAACTCTTCCTTCTGGTTTATCATTCGATCAACATGGCAATCTCTATGTTGTCGATCGTGGCAATACTCGAGTACAAAAATTTGCAATCGAACAGACAACAATTTAATGATGCTTATTTGTTTGTGTGGTTGAGAATAATTTGCATGGAATAAAGAAAAAAAGGATATTTGCCACCATTCAATAAATATATGAGATATATGTGCGCGCGCGACCAGAAAACCGTCCCTCGTGGCGAGAGCGGCGGCTGCTTGGCGATGCACGAAGAGAGCCAAGCTCACATGTACACGTATGCATGAACAAACATCGATCGTGTGAATTCGATAGGCCCGTGTCGTGTTGCCACTATCACCAGTTAAATTTTCTGGTTGAGAGTACACAAAGTTCTCCCAATGGAGCTACATTGGATGACAAGTGTACCTTAGAAAGAGTAGAGAATTAGAGAGAATGATCTTTGCTCTATTCGAATGATCGCATGAGAATGATTCATGGCCAGTGAAGCATTATCAAAACGATCATCTGAATGAAGTGAAGGACATGGAACAGAATATAGAAAAGGCGAGACCACTTACTTGGTAATTGCTTGTTTGCTACACGGAAGCATCGTCAACGAATGAATGACCGCTCTTCTTTCTGCCCACCTCTATTTATATCAATACACAACGCCAATGCTTCATCCTGTTGCATCATCTTCCTTCTAGAAAGATTACGAATGGAAATGGAAGGTACTAATTACTTTCATATATAATTTAGAATTTATCAATAAACATTCAACGCGAAGGAAGATCCAGAAAAATTTCAGTTACTAAAAGTTAGAGGACGATTTTCTTAGTTAATACTATGTTTTCTAATAAAAAGTGTTCTTACTTGTATCAGATATAGACACGGTCGATATTTTACAACTGTTACATCTATCTTAAAAATGAATCAGTCTTATAATATATTCTATTCTTTCTTCTCCATCAGAGATGGGCACAGGACAGTCCTGTCCTGTAGGACAGGACGAAGCTAAAATTTTCGTCCTGCCCTGCCGCCCGCCAGGACAGACACCAGCAGGACGACAGGACAGAACAGGATGGGGTGTGGGTGTGGGTGTCAGCAATTGAACAAGAAGAACGTACACCCATAGTCACAGCCACACCCACACTGCGGACTACAAAATAGGGTGTAGGTGGTGTGGGTGTGTGGGTGGTCGCGTGTGTAAAGGTATAGAAAATTCATAGTCACACCCCAAGCACACCCACATTCTACCTACATAATGCACATGGTCTCAATGTAAAAGCGATTGATCCGTTGTGAACTTGCCCTCATAAGTTTATCTGAATTATCTTTCATTGCAGTTTGTCCATGTGTATTCTGCGTATTACCTAATCGCAATAAATATACTTATCTCGAAATATGTAAAGAATTAAAAAATTTAGCTACACAATTAAACAGTTTTTTACTTCCCTGCAATATCATTTACATCTGATCCTTAAAAAAATCTATTTTCAATGCATTGATAAAGAAATTTACATTTGAATAATGTAAAGTATCTTATTCTAATACCCAGGTGATTCGATCCGACTGTCGGATTACGTCGGATTATATCGGATTATATCGGAAAAATTACCGGATTTTAACGGATCCGACGGGAACTCGTCGGAAGTTGTCGGCGTCCTAGCCACAGGATTCCGACAGGAGGTTCCGGATGTCGGAATAATCAGGATCCTGCGAAATCCCTGAAACTCCGACACTTTCCGACATCCAGAACCACTTGTCGGAATCCTGTGGTTAGGATTCCGACAAATTCCGGCGAATTTCTATCGGATTCGATAGGGTGAATTCGACCTGGGTATATTTTCGATGTTTTTTTTTCGACGAAATGATCGTTCAATATTTTCATCATTCGACATTTTTCATCTCGATCTTTCTACTGTTTGACATTTTCTTTTATTTCGACGATTTTCTTTCGACCTTTTTCATTTCGACATTTTTAGCTTCGACTTTTTTATAACATTCATATCGTTTATATATTGTTTGGAATGATAATATCATTTGTTCTTTCTTGTCTTTCATCTTATCTGTGCAGAAACAGATTTATTTCCAACTTCTAACAATGAGTATATAAATACATCTCGAAGATAATTTTTTATAATTAAAATATATATTATGATCCTACACTAAATAATTTTAAAATTCCCACTTTCGTTATTCCTAATTTGTAGGTGTAAGTGTAATTTTTGATTTGCTCTTTTGAATATTGAAGTTCTCAATTGTAGTCAGTTTTATTCTGTATTTTCACGTTTTTCTGAATGGAAGTGCAAAGTACAAAGTGTAATGATTATGATTCAATAGTTGAGCCATTAAATTCTGAAACAGATAGTTTAGTGCTACATGAAATAAATAGAAAACCTACTCATGGAAGAGAAAATATGTGGCTAAGAATGACAACCCATGTAGATGGAAATAATTGGAAGTTTTACCAAAGAGAACAATGTCAATTAGTAAGTATTAGGCTAAAAAAACAGACTTCATTTTATTTCATACTACACTAGTCGACGATCTTGACTTCGATCTGTCCAGATTCTTGTAGACC